ATATAAGTAAATTCAATTAGTTTATTATTTTTAGCTAAGTAAAATTTAAATATTAGTAGTACTTTAAATAAAAAAATTTTTAGTATATATCAATATATTATAACTCAAGTAGATTTAAAATTTCTTAAAGCTATAATAATATAAAGTAGTAAATATTTTAATTTAAGAAATTTTAAATCTATTTATACTATTTAGTTAATAAAGTATCTATAAATATATTAATAAGATAATAAATTTAATTAATATATTTCAAGGTTTGGTAATCTAGTTTAGTAGTTAGGTTATCAAACTGCCATACAATAGGTCTGAAGTTTAAATTCTACTGTTGACAAATTTGAATAATTTTTCAGACCTTGTGATATATTACAGTAAACTTTGTTTATTTTTGGAGGTGTACCTCTATAAATTGAGTTACATCAAATCAATTAAAACTTAGAAGTGTAGCATAATATTACATGAATAAATCTTGATAAGATATATAAGCAGAGATCTACATAGTAAAAATCTCAAGTTAGTAAAATAATCTGGCCTTCTAACAGAACTACATTAGCTAAAGTCTGATCTGAGAAGAAAACTTAGTTTAATAAAGGTAGAAGGTTTTGAAGTTTCTAGGCAAAAGGTAACTAGAACTAGCTAGATACTAGAAAAAGACTAGATTAACTGACTAGTAGAGAACTACAGTAGAACCTAGAGTTGCATAAACTTCTACAAGGATCTAAGCTATATAAATCTGTAAAATGAGTACAAACTGCTCTAGTAGGTTTGCTTCAAAGTTAACTGGCTCTACAATACTAGCAATATATCTAATATAATATATTCTGAAAGGATCTAAGCCATTCTGAATAAATAAATCTGTAATGAGCTAGCTAGCTTAAGTAGTTAAATATTGTAGTGATATTAGGTTGAATCTGTATAGGTTAATGAACAGAGTATTTAAATAGGTAACTTACAAGCAGGTTATAGGTATAGCAATATAGTATAAAACTAATCAGGTAGTCTAATGCCTATGCGATGAACTACTTAAAATAAATAATAACTAAAGTTGTATGTGTAACTTATTGTATAATCTTTATATAATTACATACAGTAGAGATTATCAATGTATAATCCTATTAACAACTCTAATAAAAATTTTTTTGACAATGTAAACTGCCTTAACAATAAAAAAAAAATTAATATATATCAAGCTATACTAATTAATTTTATTTTTATTATTTTTACTACTAATAATAATATTAGAAAATAATAGTTTTTTAAAGAAGTTTAATATAGTACAAATTATTTTAGTATTTTCTAAAGTTGCAAAAGAGAATAATTCTAATTGATAATTATTGTTTATAGAAATAGCTGATTTATTTTCAAAAATTTATCAAAACTAATTAGCAAAGTATTTAATTCTTCTACTTGTAATTGTATTGCAATAATATTAAGTTAAATCTGTATATATTAATAAATAGAGTATTTAAATAGATAACTCACAAGCAGATTATAGATATAGTAGCATAGCATAGAACTAATTAGATAGTCTAATATCTATACAGCAGATTACTTAAAATAGATAATAACTAAAGTTATAGGTATAGCTTATTATATACTTTTTATATAATTACAAATAGTAGAGATTATTAATATATAAAGATTTGATGATCTTAGTATAGTGATTAGATTGCCAGATTGCCATGCAAAAGGTCTGGGGTTCAAATCCTACTGTCGATGAATTTGAATAATTACTCGAACCTTTGTACCTAACTTACAATAAACTCTGTTTGTTTCTAGAGTTATAACCCTGTAAATCACATTGCACCAATATCATCTAAATATTAGAAGTATGACAAGGTGTTTGGTGAGATGTAACATTATATAAATAAATCTTGATAGGATCTACAAGTAGGGGACCTGCATGGAAAAAATCTTGAGTTAGTGAAGTAGTACAGCCTTCAACAGTTATATCAGCTAATACTTGATTCAGAAAAGAAACTATTATCAAAAGATACAAATCGAGTCAGATACGCATAAATTTGGTTTACAAGGAGGATCGGTAACACCAATCTAGCTTGGCAGCTAACTGGATTAGGAGGATCTGCCTCGTGAAATATCTGAGAAAATAGAATACAGAAAACTAGTGGAGAGCTACAGTAGGAACTAGAGTTATACAAACATCTACAAAGGTCTAAGCTAGGTAAATTTATAAAATAGATACAGACCACTCTAGTAAATATGCTTCGAGGTTAATCAGCTTTGCAATACCTACAATAGTTAAGTACAATATATCCTAAGAAGACCTAAGCCGTTCTAAATAAATAGATCTGTAATGAGCTAGCTAGCTTAAGTAGTTAGGTGTTGTAGTGATGTTAGATTGGATCTGTATAGGTTAATAAATAGAGTATTTAAATAGGTAACTCATAGGTGAGTTACAGATATGGCAGCATAGTATAGAACTAATTAGATAGTCTAATCACCTATGCAGCAGACTACTTAAAATAGACAATAACTAAAGTTATATATGTAGCTTGTTGTATACTCTTCATATAATTACAAATAGTAAGGACTATCAATAGATATCCCATATGCAATTCTAATAAAATTTCTTCAGCAATGTAAGCCGCCTTAATAACAAAAAAAAAAAAAGATTATTAATATATAATTCTATTTGCAATACTAATAAAATTCTTTTAGCAATATAAGTTACCTTTTAAAATATATATAATATATATATATATATATATATATATATTATATAATTCTATTTTTCTTTTTGCTATGAGTGTTTTCATATAAATATTGCAGAACTCATATATATAATCTTTGATATTTACTAAATTTATTTGAATTGAATAGCTCAGAAATAATTATTTAATAGTAAATACTTAAAATAGATTTATTAACAAATTTTAAATGAATAAAATTTTCTTTATATCTATTAGCTTAATACAAATAAATAACTAGAAAAACTCTATATAAAAGTAAATAATAAGTTTAAATTACTTTAAATATGTTAATAAAATAATTCTTATGTTTACTAAACTAATTCAAACTAAATAACTTAAAAGATACTATTTAAATTAAATATTATAAGTTTGAATTAAATATATATTATAATAAATATTTCTTATATCTACAAAATTAATTATTAAAAAACTCTAATAAAACTATTTAAAGTATAATAAACTTTAATAATAAATTGTAATAAAATAGTACTATTATAAATATTTGTATTGTATTCTTTAAATAAATATTAAACCTTTTCAGCTTATTCTTCTTAATTATCTAATAATAATATTAAACTAGTATATTTTTTAAAAAATTACTAAATAAAACTTTTAGATTTTTTTTTTTTTTTTTTTTTAGTAAATTATTTGAAGCTGATGCAAATACAAATATTGAAGCTAATAGTTTATTATTATTATTATTTCTTTGATTTCTTTCTTTATCTTTATTAAATAAAAAATCTAATTTATCAAAACTATCTATTATAGATTCTTTTATTTAGATATAATAACTTAAAAAATTTTTTATCTTTGGAGCTATTATTCTTTTATATTACTATATCATTATTAATTTAATTTTATTTATATTTTTATTACAGAATTTATTCTAAATTTGATATTAAAATACTTATATTTTATATATTATTCAAGATTATTACTAAAACAATAGATTCTATACAAGATAAAATTTAAGCTTAAGCTCATTATCTAATTATTTTTAACTTTACTAATTCATATAATTCATCTAACCTTATTATATACTTTATTCATATTGTTCTTAAATTTTGTTTTTTTTTTGATTAGCCAACTAAAAATTTAATAACTTATTAATATTATTTGTTATACAATATAATTAAATAACTTTATTTTATATATTTTATTTTACCTTTATTCACAAAATAGAAAAATTTTTATATTTTTATTATCTTTTATTTTTATCCTTTACTAATACTATAATACCTTTTATTAATAACTAACAACTCTTTAAACTATTTACTTTTTATATAAGACAAGATATATATAGTACTTTTAATACTTTTATGTGGTAAATTTATTATGAGAAAAAAGTTTTTTTTCTTTATTATTATACAATTTAACTATATATATTTAATATATGTATATTGAATTTACTGATTTAACTAATATACTATATGTACATAAATACTATAAATTTTATATTATATTACTGATTATAATCCTTATTGTTATTAGTTATACTAGTATAAACTCATATATATAAGCACTATTCAATAGAAAAGAGAAGAAATTTCTTTTTAAATCTAATCAAATTAACTAGATTTAAAAAGAAATTTTTCTTTTTTTCTATTAAACAATACTTATATTTATTTATTATATCAATATATATTTATTTGTTTTATAATACTGTATGAAAAATTCTCTTCCAAATTCGCATATATTATACACGTAAATGCTAAAATCATAAAGAATTAAATAAATAAATAAAATCAATAAAGTTTGGATAGTAAGGGTGCATAATAATAATGATAAAATGCTCTATGAATTGGTCGAATAATTCTTATAAACACATGTGAAGAATCATGGTTACGGTAATTTGTTTCGCGATGATTTAGTTCACATTTCCCACACATATCAAAGTTTTGACAATGTCCACACTTTATAAAAGATTTGTAATTATTAATAAATAAAGGCTTAGAAAACATCATGTTAAAGGTTATAAGTTAAACTTACTCTGTATCTAATACCACAAATGGGATTAATTCCACAAATATCGCAAGAAATTTCAGTATGTACATCTAAAAAAAAAAAAAAAGCAAAACAAAAATTAGTAAAAAATAATTTAGAAAGAAAAAACTTAAAAAAATATCGAATGTCTTAATTACTAGTATCCATTGTTTCAAAAACGAATTTCGGAAGCAATATAATTCGTGGATCAATATAAATAGGGTATCTTATTTTGAGGAACATGTGATCAAAATTATGACTTGAACCAATACATGCATCACATAAATCGAAATTGGCACAATGACCGCACTATTTTTGAGGAATGATTTTTAATAAGAGAGAAATAACCAAAAATTTCTTTTGTGAGAAGTGTATGAAGATTACTTTGTAACGGCATCCTTTTATTTGAAGCCCACATGAATCACAATTAGCCTCATGCCAAGTATTATCTTCAAGGACATAAAAAAAAAAAAAAATCAATATTAACTAAAAACAGAAATTAAATAGCTTCATATACAACTTTAAAATTTACTCACTATTATTGACAGCCTGGCTTAACTTCTTATTTTCATCAAGTAATTTTGTAATTTGTTCACGTAGAGATCTTATTGTACTTAACTTCTCACTTCTTTCTGCCAACAATTCATCAGATAAACTCAAATTCTTCTTTTTTAAAGCTACAATTTCTATCTTGGCTTTAGGATTAGTAATTTGTAACTGAATAATTTGTGATTTCAGGGCCGTATTTTTAAAAATGACTTACGTTCATTATTATCAGCAGCCTGGCTTAACTTCTCATTTTCATGAAGTAATGTTGTAATTTGTTCACTTAGTGATCTTATTGTGCTTAACTTCTCGCTTCTTTCTGCCAACAAATCATCGGATAAACTCGAATTCTTACTTTTTAAAGCTTCAATTTCTATTTCAGCTTTAGAATTAGTGATTTGTAATTGAGCAATTCGTGATTTCAAGGCCGTATTTGTTAAATTCTATTGAATAACAATAATATCTATGAGAAATGAATTTTAGACTCTTTACCAATTGTTTAATTATAACTTACTTCCTGTGACTCTTGTTTGATGTCACTGCAATTATATGCCTTTTTCTTGGATTGATAAATTTAAATGTGTTACAGTATAAGTTTTCTATTTGATTTTATTGATTTTATTGATTTATATTCTTACCTCTTGACGAATGTCATTACAATTCATATTTGTTAAATTATTGATCGTTAGTAAGTAAAAAGAATGTTACGTATTTATTTAATCCCAGTCTTTATTTTTTAACCATTTATGGTACTCCAAATATAATTATGATTACACAAAACTAATTTGATGAATTTAATCCAAATAAGAAATTACTAATCAAGAATCAAATGACTGATAAACTGACCAATTACCGGTAACTGTTGAAATTAAAAGTACTCTAATAAAAGTTGTAGTGATAATAATTACGGTTATAATTGTAGTAAAACAATAAGAGTCGACTTATTGAATCGCTATATATGCCTTTTTTTTTAAAACTTTCAAAAAAAAAAAAAAAAAAAAGCCATACTGTATAATCGTGAAGATTAAAATACCATTATCTCACGGTTTTCCGAGCTAATTCAAGTATTTTTACTACTATAATGATTGAACTCTGATTTATTTTCAAGTAATAAAAAATATACTTTTAGACTTGACAGTTATCCATTCAGGATTAGATTTAAAACTTGTTAGTGTAGGTCATATTATATAATAAATTTCATGAGGAACTTTATTGTTTCGTAGGCGTGATTATTATGAGCTAGCGGTTTAAAGCTTTTAAATTGTGAAATCTAATTAGCTTGGCTACTGTTCCATGTAAAATTAATTTTACTATCGTCAAAATTTTAACTGGTAAGAGTCTCTGACCGACCAGTATCGGTTATGGTTATGATCCGTTATAGCTATATCCGTTGGTAAGATCGTTAATAGATTGGGTTCATTCCACAGATTTTTAGATATATTTAACTTGTGTAGAATATCGAGAAGATACTATAACTGTTGTTAAAATCAATTTTAAACAATTAAAATTACAAATTCTAAATCCTAAACTGCCTAAACCTTTCCCGATTTTAAAATGAAAAACTATTTCAAATCCAAATCCCAAATGATCACAATCCAAATTGATCACAAATTCAAATTAAATCAAAGTCCAAACTGATTCCAAATTCCAAATTATTCTAAATATCAGATTTGTCTTAAATCTCAGGTATATCTTGTGGTGTAGAACATGAATACTAAGAATAAAGCAAAATAAAAAATTGTAAAAAATAATGTTTGCAAGTTCATAAACAAATCAGATGGCATACGTATTGAGCAGAATAGGTATATAAACTATATTATCTGCGACAGAAGTAGTTTTATTATAGTAGAGATAATAAATTATTATCTCTACCATAATATAATTACCTCTGTTGTAAAGTATTGAATTGATATTAATAAACAAATTTGAGATTTAGGATATTTAGGATTGAAATTAATTTGGAATTTGGAATTTGGGATCATTTTGAATTTAAATTTGGAACCATTTGAGATTTGGGATCAATGAAACCAATTAGAAAATTAAGATATAGATCATAAAAGCCCAAATTAATTTAGAAATTCCAAATTATCCCAAATTCATAATTTTCACAGCAGCTAAGTTTTGATCTTTGGACAAAAATTAGATATATAAAAGTTGGGTGATTAGACATTGGATATATAACTTTATATGTCCAATTCGGACAAAAATAATTGGGCATATAGATGGACCCAACACTAGAGATACCGATACAATTTGAAATATGACATTTTTTAATTAATAAGAAATGACCGTATTTAGAAATTTCACGAGAGTTTAGTGAATAATATTAACTTATATTAACTTAAAAAAATTTTTTTAACTGAAAAATTGTTAAATATTATCGAAAAATATAGCGATAGTACAGTATTATATTTTATGATTATAAGCATTATTATGATAGTTACAGGCTAACTAATAAAATTTAAACTTGCTAATAGGGAACCGTTTAACCGCATAAAAATTGTTCCATAATTTCGGGCCGAATTATGTTGATCATGGGTCAAGGTTATCTTAATGCCGGCCGAGTTAAACGGTTAAACGATTAAAGAAATTCTAGGCGGTTCTAATCCCTACTTGCTACTTGGAATATACCAACTTAACCACTACATTATAATTGATTGAATAAAATTTAAGACTAATTAAGTTCTTATTTTCTTATTTCCTTAATACGTTTAAAAAAATTTTTTTATTAATTTTATTTTTAATCGTTATTTTATTAAAAATTATCTTTTGTCCGGTAATCGAGTAATTTTGCACCATTTCGTCATAACGAGACGATAGAGTGTTGTTCATGTGCTATCATCGAATGCATTCAGTTTGTCAAAATACCCCATTTCACCTTATGTTTAATATTTGTATGTGTTAAGTATTGTATACGTAGTAATTGAGTTACCGGTATTAGTTTTAGAAACTCTAAGGACTATATGACAGGATTTATTAAAAAAATATTACGTTTATAAGAGATGTGCATTTCTATAGACGATATGAACGGTCAAAAGTAGAAACCAAAGAATTGGACTTTGTAAAAAAAATTAATATCTAAATTTTAACAACTAATATCTTGATGGATTTTTTTAAGGCTATCTCAATTATTTAAAATATAGAAGAAACTTTAAATCTTTAAGGTTCTTCTAAAATTTTAATTAATTGAGATAGTCAAATTCCCATATGTTATACACGTAACTCTGGTTATATCGGCACTCTCCAAAAATAAAGAAATTGTTCGATATATCCAGATGTCGGTTTAACCAGAGGCATCATTTTTATATTGAGCATATAGGTGTAAATTTTATACAGATGTCGATATACCAGCGCGATGCGTAATAGACTTCGGACTGGGTGCATTTAGAGAGAATTTATATAGTCCATGCATTAGAGAGGTCTCTTTGTGTTTTTTTTTTTTTTTTTAATAAACCTTAGTTTTTAACTTTACGATATTTTAAGACTTTCAAACTGCAATCGAAATCTCTTCAAACGCAGACCATATGTTTAGCTCTCTAAATGCTGCCTTTGTTTCACCAAGATTATAAGAACTGGTCGTATGGTCCGACCAAAATGCACATGGAGGGAGTTAACTGTATTCAGATTATAACAAGAGAATCAAGTTCAAATGAATAAAGCTTGCGGATATAAGTTTAGTTATATATATATATATTTAATAAAAATGTATATTAAATTTGGTGATAAGATAATGGCGGTGCTTGTATCCTTGATGGTGTAATCAACTGACTTGTTCCCTCTCCTATTGAACTTGAATAATTTTCCGTAATCACAGTTTCATTGTTTATTGAGCCTAATTCTGGAGTGTATGGTGGAGGTAAACCCAAATGTTGTATCGTTTTTATATAAGTTGGTGGCGGTGTCTTAGGTACAAATCGCGTATCATCTATTACGAAGTTAATTTCTCTATCGTGTTGCCGTTGTGACATTTCATTATCAATGTCAACTGTAATTAATTCGGTTCTTGGCCTTGGATGAGATGAGTTTGTTTTTCCACGGCATTTTGTTTTAACTACCGCCTTTATTCGTGCAAAAAAAGCGTTAAAATTTTTTATAAATATTATCATTTAAGTTATAAAATTAGACTTACCCAATATACAAAATATGAAAATAAAATTACACTTGCAATTAAAATAATTTGTACCATCGAAGGTTCATTTTTAAGCATGTAAGATTCAGCAAATCCAATACCTAACAAAAAAATTATGGCTATAAATATACGATTTGTAAATTTAAGAATTAAAGCGTATTTAGAATATAGCATATTTCTGAAACTTTAATTAACTTCCTTAATTTATTCACGTCTAACAACTCGTTGGAAGATTTTAATCATAGAAATTATATAACTTTATTTGATTTAATTTAATGGGTAAACAAATACCAATGATTTATGTATTATTGGGCTATTGTAAATCTTCCAGTGATAGATAATATGAAGCATATTAGTTAATAAATATGAAAATCAAAGAAAATTATACTTTTAAAATCATCTCCATTTATAAATTTGATATAGCGGGCGTGTAAAAAGGACAATCAATATTTAACGTGTTTAGTCTGAACAATCTACGGTGATAACTTTGTCTTTTTACATTTTCTTGAGTGTAAAACTATATATTAACCTCTGTTATTTTACCAAATTCATATCTTCATGCTACAGATTTACAGGTTTTTTCTTGGCAACTCTCATGTGACAGCATATCCGATATAGATTAATATTCGGGTTGGGTCACTTCGATGTTAGCGTTAGATGGCTATAGATAAAAATCGCAGGGATGTTTAGGACCGAGTCCTTAATCAACAAACTCAATTCCTATATAAAGATCACATGTAATTAAGGACTTAGTTCAGGACGGTAATATTATCAATTCTAGTTTAGCATTGTGTATTAAAATTCTTATCTATTATGATTGGTCAATCACAATGAATACCTTTTTATGATTGGTCAGATTATCGTGATCGGATCATCATTCGAAGATCCAACTATGTACGATTTCCCGAAAACTATTTACCCGAAAGTCTATTTACCCGACATCACATGAGTTGAAAATTTACCAATAAAATATACCTATAGCTAACTAAATGCTAAATTGTCATCCTATGTGATATCGGGTAAATGGACTGTCGGGTAAGTAGTTTTCGGAGAATTGAGAGACAACCACTATGATGAAGGCACGCAAAAAAATAAAGCTTCCAAGAATGCATTATTTACCTAAAATATTAACGCAAATAACCCAAATGAATAAAGTAACATTTAATTATTTCATAAAAATTATTATGTGGCAGTGAATATCTGCATGATTTGAAAAAAAGTCTAAATGACGTGTTTGCGTACTTATTATTAATTCCGGATTAGCACGTGGTCATCTAGAGCACCAACCTGGTATACATTTTCGGAGTGTCGTGGTAATAGAATCTTACATAGTGCGAACGGGCGGTTTGGTCACCGGGACCAAACAGATATTTTAATCGATCAGCAACCGGACGACCATATCGAAAGAGGCAGTTAGATTTGGCAGGCGGATGTTCTAAAGCTTAGGTCGTCTTTCCTACTACTATGGGACAGCTCAATCATCACTTCGGGGGGGGGTACGGTAATCATGGATTAATCTATGGATTTCGCAAAGATAATTCTACTATGCCACTTAGTAGAATATCGGGGGGGTAATTAAGGAAAGTATGTGTTGGGTAGTAGGAATTATTCAATAAAGAACTCCATTGTTTATATAAGCGAACTTGGGAGTTGTCCTCCTCTATGGGCCAACACGGCCTTTATTCATAACATAAAATTTATATACAATTTATTACATTTATGGCAGATATGCCATTTATCGCAGATATGACATTTAATCCATATATTCCATAAATGAGATATATGCCATATATTGCTTAAAAGCAATATATCCGATATATGTCAGATATGTAATATATGGCAGATATGCAATTTATGCAATATATGCAATTTATGCAATGATCATCCTCGTGACCCATAGTCACGTTATATAGTGTATCGTTCCGGACCCAGCCTAACCACTTCTCGGGTCTCACAATATATTTTTAATAGCAATAGTTCAAAAAAGTTTAGATAACTTACGTATACGTTGTAAACGGCAAATCTGACTATCCCGGATGTACTACCCTCCGACGTAGTACCATGCACGATTTCTTAGATTTCTGTTATTCTTGTTTTCCATGTTATTCCTATTATTTTTATTATAATAAAGTTTTTTTGTTTGCACTATAAAAGCAATCAATACCTGTTGTTTTTTTTTAAAAAATTTTTATTTAATGTTTTTCTTTTACCTGTAAATCGATTCACTACTCAAAATGACCACTGCGTGAATGGGGATGTTATAGTCCAATAACTAGCTGTTTAGATTATGGTCCTAGCTAAAAACAGTTCAGGTTCCAAATTCGGCCTAAAAACGGTTCAGAATTGTTAAATCTATTCTAATATAAGCTTTGATTATATTATTGATTAAAAAGGACTATCCATTGTCTCTTAAAAATTATGTCGACTATTTAAAATGTCTTTCCAACGTAAGATTATATAGTTCAACAGAAAATAATAATGATATGAGTGTTGAAAATACAAATATACAATCTCAAACAAATGCAATTTAATATTATATAATACGTAGAATATTCAAAAAGGAAATTTTAACAATAATTAATACGTAATCATTTTCATTGTTAAAATTTCCTTTTTTGAATTACGGCAGCATTACGCACGTTGAAAAGGTGTGAACCGGTTCTGGAACGGAACTCGATCGGAGGTCTATGGTCACACCAATATCCGTCTACAAACAATCAACACTATCAACACTAATCCAACAATCAACCCTAAGTTGGAAGGCTGAAAGACGGCGTGGAGGATTTGGTCCGGGTTTTAGGGATCT